TTAATACATGGGAGAACTTTGTGCTAGAGCTCTCCAGAGAGTCATAGAGATGTCTGAGTATCCAAAGGATTGATGGACTGGATGATTTATTCATTGTGTGATTTTTAAACTCCTCCATCCTTAACACTTAGAGTAATAGACAATTTTAGTGAACATCTAAATATTTGCAGATTAATTTAATGTCCATTTTGAGAGATCCATTAAAAACATGCCAGTAGTAACAAATAAGCATAGGAGTTTTGTTTCTTTCTTTTTCTTTCCCCCCCAAACTTTTAATGTGAAATGTTTCGAACATATAGAAAAGTTCAAGTAATAGTATAATAAATACTCATCTACTCACCACCTTGATTAAACAACTGTTAACATTTTTCAATTTTTGCTTTTGTGATACTTTACACCTAAATGCTTCAGCATGGATCTTCTAAGAGCAATGATATTTTCTTACATAACCACTATATCATTATTTTGCTTAAAATGCAAAAAATAACTTCCTAATTTCATTTAACATCCAGGGCATTTTTAAACTGGCCTTTGGCATTATATTGTATCAAAATTAAACAACCTTGATGATTTTATTCTTTGGATCATTATTCGTACAAAATTAAAATGAAGAGGATACCTTTTGTATTTGTTTAGATAGAAAATAAGGTTAGCATAACCTTTGATTGAGAAAACCAGTATGTCTCCTGAGAGAATAACAGATGACATGTCATTCAGAACATCAATTTCTTCATTAAATTAAAAGTCTGTAAAACACTTATTGTACCCACTTTAAGATAAGACCTATTTGAAAAGTTCCAGAGGTTAGATATGATGTTGGTTGGCACATCCATCATGGGTTTATGAGTCATACAATCCTCTGTAGTAGTTAAAATTGATCTAAAAGAGAAAGGCATTGGCTAGGCTTCAGCAGTTGACTAATAAATCTTTTATTTCAAGTCTTGAGTAATGATGTTCTTTTGTGAGCCAGAGACTGTGATGGGAAATGTTTCAGTGCTGGGTGTTCTGAGTAAACTGGGGACCCCTCGCCATTTGGTTTTCTATGTCTACAAAACAAAGCAGGGCAACTATGCACATAGAAAAGAAATGTCTCCTCTGCTTCTATCCTTCTTTCTTTAACAAGCCTATTATAACATGATGAGAACTGTTAACTTTTAAGCTTGTAACAAGAACTGCAGGCATTTTATTGTGCGATATGGAGGTTATATGAGATATGACAGCCCTCTTGAATTAAAACAACAAACAAAACAAATAAGAGTAAGGCTGTGTGCATGATTATCTTAGATGATTTTTTGAATTTGGAAAAGCTAAAGATAAGTGTGAGAAAGAAGTATATTGTGGTGTGTTGTATAGAGAATAAGGAATTTGATAATAATGACAAAGTAGTCTCTAGATTCTTGAAAATGTGAAACTGAATGAATCTTTGTGCAAGTCTAGGGAAAGCATGTAGCTATAGACTACTAAGATCTGCTTTAAGATCGTATAGTTCTTCTATGTTCTTTATTACTCTGGGATGTATTTTATCCACTAAACATGTTTTATAAACTCTGTAGTGTAACAAGTCTCTCCTCTTAGACCACATGCTTATGAAACGTTACATACAATTCTGACACTTCATAATAAAAAGAATAAGTCTAGAAGCAAACAGTTTTTATAGGAGTTACCCAGCACAAAATGAATGTTATTGTTCAAGACATAGAAAGAGAAAAAGTACTGTTTAAAATCACATAAACAATTATTCTTTCTCAGGTTCATGAACAGGTGCAAAAAGTGCTTTGCCATTCAATTTTTAATATCAATTTTAAAATCAAAGGTATACTTTAAAAACAGCTGATTTCCTCCTCAGAGAATCAAATTTATGAACTTTATTTTCTACTTTACAAAGAAAATATGTAAAATATGTATCCCCTCGGGTCTGGGCCCATCTCAGATTGCAGATAATTGTAAGGTGCCTCCCCGGCAAGGCTTAGCCTATTTCCCATGCTTTGGATTTGATCATCTTGCTTCTGGGACACCTGGCTGCTCCACTTATCCCCTCTCTTTTCTACCTTTTACCTTTCCCTTCCTATTGGTCTTTTCCTCCTGCATATATACATATTAAGTCTTTCTCATTATAAATGAAACAAATGCACAAACATTTTATATTCTCTCCTATCTACTCTCTGGTTTTCTGCTACTCCTTAACATTCTACCTTGATTTTTAAGAAATTTTATTTATTTTGTTAAAAAACAAGATTAACATAGATCCATTGTCAGCTATTTAAAATAAATGAGCAAAAAACAGAAAATTAAAATTAATCAAATGCCTATTATCTAAAATGAACCGCAGTTAATATTTTGTTATGCGTAAGTGCATGTCATAACTACTTGTAAAGCATTTTTGTCATCGAATATATTTTATAGACTACTTTTAAAATGGCTAGATGTTTTGTATTAATTATATGTATCATAATTTATGTACATAGTATCCTACCATTGCAGATTTATAAAATTGCTAAATATATTGTTCTTATGAACAAAGAAGTGAGCATTATTATAGCTAAATCAATGACATTTTTCTTAAAGTTATATCCTATAAGTAAAATAAGTGAATTCAAGTGTGTGATAGTTTTAAAGCTTGATAGATTAAAAATGATTTTCAGGAAAGTTTGTGTCAATTTGTTTTTCCATTCTACTGTGCTTTTTATCGCACCTCAACAAATTTGATCTGTAAAGAGTCTATCTCATAGTTTTAAATAACCTTTCTTTTTTCTATTTTTGAACATTTTCATATATTATTGGTTATTTGAATTTATTATTTGTGAATTATCTTTGTACTTTGCCAATTTTTCTATTTACCTTATATTTTTTGTTAGCTATTTTTACATGTTGAATATATTGAACCTTTTTAAAAACATATCATGTTTATACTTAATTAATATACTTTCATGTGTTTTCTTATCTTCCTTTAATCATATTTCTGTTTTATGTATAGATATTTTTCAAATATTGAAGCTACATTTAGTAATATTGCTCTTATTTTTACTGCTTATCAGACTTAAAAAGGCCTTAGCACTTTTATACAATTGTTTATTAAAGTAAAATTTTGTTGAAGGATGATGTACATATATCAAAGCACACAAACTGTAAGAATAAAGCTCTAATAATGTGTAAGCACCCAGATTAAGAAATCGAATATCACCAGCATCCCAGAAGTATATCATATTCCCTTTACCACTACTTTCATCACGATGATTTTTTGAACTTTTTAAAAATGAAATTGTACAGCAGTATTCTTTCGTGTCTGGCTTCTTTTATTTAATCTTTTGTTTGTGAGAGCCGTCTCATGTTGCACACAGTTCTTTATTGACGCATGTCTTCCATGGTTCCACAAATATTCTTGTACGTGTTTTTTGATGAACATATGTATATACACATTTTGGGGGGTACATATTTTGGAGTGAAATTTCTGGGTCATAGGATTTCTGTATTTTCTATGGTAAAATACTTACACACCCAATTTTTAAAGTAGATTGAGCCAATTTGTCTTTTTCATTTTAGCCATGCTGGTACATGTAAAATTATTTTGAATTGTGGCTTCAGAGCCCATGTCTAATACCACTGTTCTCCTCCATATAGTTTGATGCTTCACACCCATTAGAAACATAAATACTTATTAACCTTCTGTTTAGCATAAGTCACCAAAGAATTTAAATATATTCAGAGTACTATTTCGTAATAAGTTGATTACTCGAGTAACTATACCATCAAATTGATTAAAATCCAGAATGAGAAATCTTTCAAACAGATACACTATCAAATAACAAATCTTCCTATTTCTGAATATAAATTTGCTTTATACTTGTAGTATTTTCTGAGTCCTAATTCCTAATAGTTAGAGTAATTGTTATAGTACCGACTTCTTCCTAATTTATAATAGGTAGTTTGCTAATAGTATAGTCACCTGACATTCACATGTCAAAATACCTTTGATGAAGTATGAATTGCTAGCTGGGGAACTGGCTTATTCAAGGGAGTTTAATTCATGAATCATTGTGCTGAGAATACACGGTGTGAAATTTGAAAAGAAAGATAAATGTTCTTCATTTTAAAGTACTAGTTTCCTAAGGACAGAGGTTAGAGGGGGTTAGGTATCAGGTGCTCCTTCCTTTTATTCAATTGGCCAAACCAACAATAAAAAAGAAACTCTTTTGGAAACAAAGGTCCCAGGTAGGTCACTTTCAGCTGATGAAAGAGTAATGATATTAGAGAGAAGGAAAGCCAGGACAAGAACGAGGGAACTTGGCTGAGACAGCCGGTGAAAGGTGAGATTGAAGGGACATGTTTTTAAGTTATACTCTACATTTTATGGCCAAAATTATGTGCTATGGTGTTATTCATTATTTAAGGGGTTTGCATCGTTTTGGAAAGGTATCCTTCATAAACGTCAGTATCTTCTAAAATACTGCATTGAACTCTTTTCTCACAAGTCAGATGCTGGAATTTGCAAATATTTTGGGCTTTTAACACAGTAACTGTCGTAAAAATTGTGCTAAAGAATTCTGATTTCTGAATGAATGGAGACAAATTTAATACAATTTTCCCAATGCTTAACTGTACAATATATATCAATACAGAGGATTGATTACTCTGGAACCATGTGCAAAACTTTGGGGAGTAATTTTCAATACTTAAGGCAATATTTATACCTACCTAGCCCCTAAAATAATTAATAATTAAAGAAAAAAGGCAAAATCATAGTTATATCATGTTCAATTTTGGCAGTAATACTAAGGCAATTTTGCCAATATGGATTTATCTAAAAGGAAATATCCTGAAGTTCATAGAAAAAGCAAGCACAAATCCCATAAACTTAAATCTCTCTCTCTCTCTCTCTCTCTCTCTCTCACACACACACACACACACACAAATGCACATGCACACACTTAAAGGTACAGAAAACTTTTGAAATTTTCTCTACATTGTGAGAATTGTCTGATTATTCTCTTTCTTTTTGCTAGGTGGTATTTTTGAATATGTGGAATCTGGCCCAATGGGAGCTGAGGAACTTGCATTCAGATTTGCTGTGAACACAATCAACAGAAACAGAACCTTGTTGCCCAATACTACCCTCACCTATGACACCCAGAAGATAAACCTCTATGACAGTTTTGAAGCATCCAAGAAAGGTAGATATTCAACATTATGTTTTCTGGAATTCAAATTCTAGGTATTCTTAAGAGATTTATTAATTCCATCATATAGTTGATAAGTTGTTAGGAATAATTACATGCAAAGGTTTCTTTTCAAAATGCACATAAATTTTATCAAAGAAGGTAAAGTAATACAATTCCCTACTGCAAAAAATCTGCTTATAACATGAAATATAATTAGATCTGTGATAGTGAAATTTTTTTCCCATTAATCCTTCTGTCTTGTTATTGACTATTCCTGACCTCAAAAACTCACTGAAATAAAATAATGTTTCAATGGATTTTACCAAGTTTTGCAATCAATTCTTATATCTTTATTAGCATTACCTGTTAATCCCATTCTATTATTAATATTACTGTGGTTTCAATTTATTGACTACCTTGAAATTTATGTGGTTCTAAGTGACTTCAAAAAGTCAGTCCAATCTTAAAATTTCACTGGAAATTTGTGAACAACCATTAGTTTATGTGTACTACATGCTTATTTTTTAACCATTCGATATTTCTTCTTGCAACTGAAAATAAATGGTTAATTATATAAAAATTGTATTATATAAAGAAATAATTAGAATACTTTATAAATTTTATTTCTTTTATTATGTTGTAACTATTTTAAATGTGAACAATAGGAAAATAATTTGTGGAATATGAATTTAATATTTATGTATGAAAGAAGGCATTAGAAAAAACTATTATCAAAGCATTTATTTTAACCAAACAGCAAATAATAAATGTGTTTGAGAGGTGTTTCCATAGCCTTATGTGGGTGATATTTTCTTATATACATAGTTGATCTCATAGTAGGTAATCTATTCGTTTGCATAGTCAGTGTTATGTAACAGTAATTAAATTTTATATTATAGATTTTCTCTAAGGAGGGGGCTTACAAAACATTTGTTATAACTCCATATTTTTAAACAATGTTTGCTTTTCTGCAATGCTAATATGGTTTCACTAGCTACCTTATATTAATGGAAATGTACATAATTATTTATAATTCTAAGTTGGTGCAATTTTTCTCTAAGCTTATTAATATTAATGGCAGCTGACTAGGTACAATATTTTCTGAGATGAAAGTATCTTTCTTTTCCCCCAGCATCTAACTAGTGTTTATCAAAGCCATATTCTGCATGCCCTTTGAATTCATATCTTTATGAATACAAATAAGTTTCCATATTTTAGAACCATGTCTGGGTGATGAAAGGTTTTGAAGGCTGAAAAAAGGGTTAAAGGTTACTGTGAAATACCACATTTGTCATCATAATTGCAGAATTAGTCATTAACTGCAAGACAAGTGCATTTGATTAGTGGCATAGTTCATGATTGTTTCCATTAGGAAGAAGAAGCTCTGCCTCTAATGAAAGTATTTTGACCAAAGACTATGGAATATAAGTACAGTATAGATAAAATATTAACAGATTTCTTCATGGAGATTTCAAAGTAACAATGTTTATAAAAAACAACAGGTTAGAATATTCTGACAACAAACAAAGCACTCTCCTGGGAATGCCTGAGCAAAACTTTGAGGTGATAAAATCATCTGGTTTCCAAAATATTATAAGGAATTTATGAGCTTTATCACTCATTAAAAATCGTTAGGAATCAAATCTATCAGTTGACTTTGGCCCGAAGCTACAAAAAGCTTAAATAAGTGTATGAGTAACTTTCTTTGTGATTGTTATAGTTTGGACCTTATCTTATGAAGCTCTTGTTTGTTGAGTTATTACTCTGTAGAAGGCCCAGCAATATGTAAAAAGATAATATAAGAGAGAGAACCGATATAATCTTTGAACCTTATCAATAAAGTTATATATCAATAATGTTGTTAATGATTATGAAATAACTTTAATTTGGACATTTTAAAATTTTTTTTAAATTATTTCTTTCCAACGCAAGAAATAAGAAATTAGATGTTAAATTTTGACATTTTCTCTAACTTTTTTCTTATACTTTTAATAGGTAATACTATTTTGCTCAAGTAATGAATACTTTGATGTATTGAAACTTGAATTATTGTTTCAATCATACATTATTTTTAAATGACTCCTCTGATAACTAAAAACTCTAATTCTTATGTGAAACACACCTAGGAATATTCTATAATAAATCCTCATATAACATTTTCAGCTATCTTGGTTTGTGATTTGTCAAAAACCTAGTGAACAAAGATCTTTTATCTTAATGTATGTGAATTAAAATCCCATGTCAAGTGAAAAATTCTAGGGTCCAGCCAGCCTTTCTAGTCATTTAAAATTCCAATCATTATTTAAAATATAAGAATCTATATATTCAAAAACTATTTAGATCATACTGAATTTTTAAAGAATGTTTAAAAAGTAGTTTTTTTTTCTAACCAGGATTTACTTAATTATTAAATACTTCCATGCTTAAGAATTAATCTATCACATTGTATTTTATGCAAAAAATTCTGAGAAAAAATAGCAGAAAGTCTCACACAGTAGAATTATAAACTATATGTTTTGGAAGAATTGAATCTGAACAACCAATTTATGCCTAAATCCCAATAACAATCTTTCTCTGTCCTGGTTAAATATTTTCAATGCTGAGTGAACCATTGCCTCTTGGGGAAGACTATTCCATTTTCAAACATTTCTTACCTTTAGAATTTTTTAAAATTTAAATTCAATCAAGATTCATGAGAAACTTCTAACCAATTGTCCTAATTCTTCCTTTGCCAGTCAAATTAAACAAACTTAATCTTCTTTCACAAGCCAGTTCTTCAAATATTTAAAGATAATTAATTTTCATGTTTTCAATAATTATTCACTTTCTGGGCCCAAAGTACCATTTGCTTCAGTGTACCTTATAGAATGTCAAGTCTTGGAACAAGCTAGTTTAATCTGAATACCCTTCTAATTTGCTTATGCCTTTCTTAATTAGTGCAGTTATTATTTATGTGAATAAAATTTCCTACGAGTAAATACAAACTGTAAAAAATAGTCTAGAACAATAGAAAAGACTTATAGCATACCAAAACCAAATATATAAAGATAATTGAATACTTGTCTAATGATTTTGGTGTTTTGTCTACTCAATGAGATTAATCCATATGAAATCACCCCCTAAGAGCCATTGAAGATTTTGTATGGTTGGCTGTATGCATAACTTTACCTATATCACCAGATACATGTAAATATTTAGCTGTGTGTGGCCATAGCTAATTGAGTGGGGAGGGGCAGGACCAAATGGCTTCTGATTAAGAATTTGAAAATGTAAAGAGTGGTCAGTGAATTTGATAAGCAACACTATTCTCTCATCCCCTTCAAATAAACTATTCTTTCAAAATGAGCACTCTTTTCCCCCCTCCCATTAAATTCAAAAACGTTCCTCCTCTCTCTCTTTTCCTCTCTCCCTCCCCTGACATTATCTATAGAATTATTTGAACATGAAGCTGCAGGCATGGTGGTGAATTAATTCCCTTGTAACAAACTGAAAATGTTCAGAGTCAGACAAAATGTGAAATTAGTGAAACACAGACGTTATATTAAGGAAAAACAAATCTTTCTGCAGGATGATACCTTTGGGTTTACAATAATAATATGGTATCTGTTGGCACACCGGCATCTCTCCTCTCATTATTGACAGACTTCTATCTCCTCTTCAGCCTGTGATCAGCTGTCTCTCGGGGTGGCTGCCATCTTCGGGCCTTCACACAGCTCGTCAGCAAACGCAGTGCAGTCCATCTGCAATGCTCTGGGGGTCCCCCACATACAGACCCGCTGGAAGCACCAGGTGTCAGACAACAAAGATTCCTTCTATGTCAGTCTCTACCCAGACTTCTCTTCACTCAGCCGCGCCATTTTAGACCTGGTGCAGTTTTTCAAGTGGAAAACCGTCACAGTTGTATATGATGACAGCACTGGTAAGAGAAATCAGTAGCCTTTGGGGCTATGCTTTAAATATACATAATATTCTGGTGCACGTTTTTTTAAATTAAGGGATAGAAAGACATTTAAAATCAAACACACCCTAATTTTGCATATCCAAACAAAAAACAGCTGATTCACATACTTTTTCTCTGTCTTCGTACAAGCACTGTTTTTTTTTTTTTTTTTTTCTGTGAAGGATCAGCTAGTTTGAACTATGAATTAGACAAAGGATAGGGATAATATGACACATAAAATTCGAATATTTATTCAAAGATTTTTCTGCCAGGTAGTTTCCTATGGTAAAGCTGTGTGATGAGTCAGTGAAATTTGCCAAGAAGTTCAGAATTTTGCCTTAATATTCATTTAGGTGTTTGTGTGCAAAGAATGCATATGAAAAATAATAAACTTCACACCTGTAAGGCATTTTAAAATTTAGAAAAGTTTTTACTCAAATGTGGAACAATATAATATCCAGTGAAATACTTAAGTTTCTAGAACTACTTTGTTTGTAGACACCACTTGGAGACTGAAAAAATAGAATTTACTAAATGGTATTTATTTAGGTGTTTTAAAGGAATATTTTAGTGAATATTTGCTGTCTAGAGGTTGTCTGTGCTTTCTTGTTCTAACGTATGTTGCTAATTTTGTATATGAATGGTTATCTTGAGTTATCAATTAAAATCAAGTTTCAAGAGAAATATAAAAAAGTAAACAGCAAAAATGAAGTTTTAATTTTGTTGGCAGTTATATTGGTGAAGCAACCGTATACTATTTTGCTTACTATAGCGTGATAATTGATTTTACTTTAAGATGTTTATCAACAATATAAATAGTGTTGTTTAAGTTAGAATGTAAAAACATTTTATTTTAGGACACTTCACTATACCTTCATATTTGCATCAAGACTGAAATTCATTTGAATTTAAATTCTCTCAAAGTATGCCAGGAGTATACTTTGTGCATGCATGCAGTATATAGAACTTTGTACAGAAATTTGTCCAGTTGCCAATAAAATTGATCATCCACAAATTGACAGATTGAAACTCTTCCAGGGAAACAGGAAACTGAGAACTACGGGACTGGAAAAACAATGAAAGTATTAATAATATCAAAAACATTTTCACTGGGATAAGAGTGAACCTAAATACAAATTAATAATTTTGTTATTCTTATTAAAAATGTAGAATATAAATAATTTTAACTTAGAAATACATCAATAAGAGTCCTTAAAAATAAACTAAACATCTTTGATGTGTCTTTTAATTCAAATTAGACATATTAAATTTATTGTATTATGTTTTATTCCAAAATCATTACATTTTAGTCATTAATAAAGTTCTATATGCCAAATTTTGAATGACAGGCTCTATGTAAATGATTTCTCTGGGCTTATGTAATGAAATGGCTTAGGACATCCTCAATTACAAATTGATCCACTTATGTTTATGGATGATCACATACAGAAATATATAAGTATGAATACATATCTATTGGGAATCCATGGGTTATTTACATCTCCATTCCTTCCTGATATAATTCAGGTGTATACTGGCCAGACATATATCTTCATATGTACATGCACATACACATGATATACATATGTACACACACACATCTATATATCGTACATGTGATATTTTGTATTTATTTATTTATTATTACTAAGACTCCTCATAAGAGGAAGAAAATTGGCAAATGTTCAAAATGTTTGTGAACATATCACCTTTCTTCACTATTGTGTTTGTATGTGTGTTGGAATTTTATTTCAAACGTGCTTCTTGAGTGATTGAATAAGGAGATAATAGGATTTGTGATCATGTCATATCATAATTTGGTAAGATGAAGCTTCCTGTGTAATTGATCTGTCCCTGCTTTAAATTAAATTCTAAATTATATCATTGAGACACATTTAAACAGGAAAATATATATAATAGTTAATTACATTTACATATTTTTATGGAGTCCTGGCCTCAGATTGAATTTATTAAAATACTTTAAATTACTATTTAAAGGAAACATTTCCACTCTTGTTGCTTTGGAGGTAACATAGACACTTGAAAACTTCAAAAGTTTTTTATTATTTAAATAATAATGTTAACTTAGAGTAGTTACAGAATTATTCGTAGAGTTAGGATGTCTTAAAATCCTCCGAGAAAAAAACGTATTAATTCTCTATTTTATGCCAACATTTAATTCAGTGAATATTGATTGATCATCTGCTACATGCTAGGAACAATTATAGGTGTGATTGTATGCCAAAAAGGAAACAAAGTCCCGACGGTTGTTGAGTTTCTATTTCTCTTTTTAGGGACGTGATTATTCATATTTTTAATATTATTTGTAATGAGCTAATTGCATTTGTTACTGGCCATTTGTTGTCTCTTTTAATTTAAAGCACTTTTGAGAACTTGTGTGTTCTTGATTATTTAATATGATAAAATTGACTCTATGCAGCATGAGTGACTTTGAAATGTATTCAGAAACATATAAAAGTAGATTTTTTGTCTTTTTGTTCATGTTTAAAAGTCTCAAGGTAGAATTTTAATGATAGAATTCAACAAAGAGAATTTGTAAACTTGTCAAGTGAGCAAGATGTACATTTGATGATGTGAAAGGAAATCTGATTATAGCTAGGACTGAGAACTGAAATGGGAAAAACCCAACCTCATACCCAACAAGATAAACATTATTGACTCTATTTTGAACTCATATATCTGCTGTTTACTGCAGGATACACATGTGCCATTTTATTTACATTTCCTTATTTCCTTTCCAAATGTATTTATTATGTATGCTATTCCTCTTATTTATATTCATTTTTATTTTGTTATGTTGTCCAGTTTGATATATGATAATTATACTTTCATGTAGTCTTTGTTCCCACCCCTGAAACAGATGGGATGATAGATGAAATATAGTGCTGGAGTAGGAGAAATTCTTAAAATGTTGTTAACAGGAGCTATTTATTTTTTATGATAATTAGCATTTGTTGTTGTCATGGATGAATGCTTTTAAACACTCTGAAAGTCTGTTATAGCTCTGAATGATGTCCAAAAATGATGGAAAAGAATTGGCTTCAGAAACAAAGCTGTGTTTCTGTCAGTCATTTTGGAACATATGATTCATTTTAAATATAAACTAAAAATAAGTTGGATAGCTGTCAGCTTGTAAGCAATTTCAGGATAAGTTGTGAATATTTGCTCTAAAATCCTTGTGTTTCATCTTTGTTTATAGATCAGCAGTCCATTGACAAAAAACTCTGGACTGGTAAACAGAAGTCTAGGATTCTATTCCCAGTTTTGCTTCTAAAATTACCAGTACAACTTCGGATAAGACAAGAAGGGAATGGAAATGGCTGAAGAAATGAACTCTAATGCACTATGCATTGTGGTAGTTGCTATCCTATAAATGATTTCACTTAATCTTCAAAACAATTCTGTGAGTCCCAAAGGAAATAGGTTATCACCTCATCACTTTTTCTCCCTCCAGTGACTGGCTCTCCTGCCCTCCAGCAGCCTACAACAGTAATATGAAAGAACATTTTTCCTCATCTTTTCCTTTCTTCAGCTCCACATTCAAGCTCTAACGATTGTCAATCTATATCTTTAAGATCTCTCCAATCTTTTTATTTTTTCCATCCTCTACCACTTCTTAGGTCAAAATCAACATATCTGTCAGCTGGATTATTAGTTACAGCCTCCTCACTGGTCTCCCTATTTCAATTCTGCATCCTGCTAATCCAGTATTTTCACTACAGTTAGAGTAATTTAAAAAACTGCAGTTCTGATCCATTCCCCTCTGAGTAGCTTCTCATAGCTCTAAGGAGAAAGTCAAAACTTTTTAGGAAGCCTTATAAGGAAGGCCTGATGTGATCTAGTTCCTGTATCTCTCCAATGATATTCGAATCTAAATTCACCACTATTTCTTTAAAACTGAGCCATCAAACTTCCTTTACTTGCTGAAAATAATATTCTGTTCACCTGGAAGGCTTTCATTCTGATCCCACTCCTCCTAGCCACTAAGTGCACCCACATGCGTATACACCTTTGTAAACATACACTCATGCATACCATCTGTCTTAGATATCAGAAAGACAGGTTCCACTGACCCCTGCTCCCAAATCTGGAATAAATTTCCCCAAATTCCCAAAGTACCGTGGTAACTCCCATGACCCCTCCCATGGGAATGCTCATCATACTATGAATGGCTTGTCTTGGCTGTATCTTCCATTGCATCAAACACACATCTGAGCAGGATGGAGTCTAAAACTGCTCACCATTTTATCACTAGCACTTAGAATATTGCCTGGTGCATGGATATACATTAATAAATATTTAAGGAATGAATACACAAAGAAGATGTTATTATGTGTATTGTTTAAACAAGAAAACTCCAATGAGTTAAATAATCTGGGTTAAATTCAGTTAGGTAGCTTTAAATATTTATCATTGAATAAATAGATTTAACAATAATTTTCAGAAAAATGTATATGATTTCTTAAGATTTAAAAAATTTTATAAGAAATCTAGAGTGAATTGTACTTATGTCTGATTTCAACTGCAATTAAACATATATTTACTTATTTGAACAATAATCTAACAAACTCCTACTGTATGCCAGACACTACCTTAGGCAGAGGGGACAGGATTATAGATAAAACTTTGACTCTTTCCATGGGCTCAAAATAGAGTGAGTGGAGGAGTGTTACATGTGATCAGGGCATTATTATAGTGTAGCAAGTTCAGAGAGAGGAAAGAAAATGATATTTTGGCAACTAAGGAGAGGAAAGGGCTTAAATCTACCTGGAAATGACAGAGAAAAATTTTGGAGAAAGTGACATTATCATGAAATTATCATGGAGGGGAAGTAAAAATGCTTCAACTGGAGAAGGGGCCAACGGGAACAACAAGTACGAATGTAAGGATGCCTGATGGAACCAGTTTGTCAGGAAAGGGCGTTCTGTGACTGGGGATCAGAAACATGGAAGATAAAGAAAGCTGAGTGAGAATTTATAAAAGACTAGCACAAGAAATATCACAATGATCTTTTTACCACCTATTCACCTTTTCTTGCCCCTCTTCCCTGGAATCTGCATAGTTATAGCCACATCATAGATGTCTCTGTGATGTGACCCTGCTTTCCAAACCACCACTGAGCACCTCAAAGCTGAGCTATAACCATCCGTTCCTTTCCTAGGAACTCAGATAGGGACATAGAGGAAGGGACATTTGGCA